GTCTTCTTCCTTACTCCCTCCCACTTGTAAGCTTTGCAATTCTGTTATGTTTATAAATCAGATAATGCTTATTTTACTTGCGGCATACTTAAAAAAAAAAAAAAACTGTAACTGCTGTATTGACTTAACCAGATTATCATTCAAAGCAATTTAAATTGTAAAAATGTTATAAATTCTACAGCTACTGAGGCTGTCTTCCTCCTTTCAGGGCCTTTGAAGAGTTCAGACTTTCCTATAGATAGAATACTGGTGCTAAATTCTGCTAGAATGAGGCATTTGTGTCACTGATTCCTTGAAAAATGCCAAGGATGTTGCTCGAGGCTTTGTGTCTGCTTTCATTTTCCCCATCATGCCCCCCCATTCTTTCCCTCCAGCATCAAGTCACAAAAAAAGTAGTAATGTTTTTTTTATTGTGTAAGCAGACCACAAAACTGAAATATTTGAAAGTCAAAATTAGTTGCACTTTCATAAACTTGTGTTCTCTTGAAAATGCCTCGAATTTTGAGTATGAGTATACAAACAAAACTAAACAACTGAGTGCAGCACAGTAATTTACCTGCCTGTCAGCTGAGCCACAGCAGTGCAGTGTGTGGCATGAGAGCTCTGCTAGGGTAATAAAAATGTAGTGGTTGCTTTAATTTGCATGTTTGTCTTTTCATATCCATTCAAGTCTAAATTAAAATTATTGATTTCTCTGAATAAGCCATGCAATTAAACAATTTTATATGACACTGAGTGCTTAGTTTAAATGAAAAACTTTTAAGTGTGTCTTCAACAAAAGCCTCAGTTTAGAATTCTGATTTGTTTAACCTGTGTGGGTTACCTTATCTTTAAACCACCTAGGAGGTGCTCTAGATAAAATGGCAAGTAAGAAACTGACTTTAAGTATCTTCAAATAATAATAGGGAAAAATCTTAGTTATAAATAGGAGCCCCTATGACCAATTGTTTATGCAGCAGTTTTCCAATAGCTTAGGTAGTTAAATGTTGTCATGGGAGATAAAGTAAAAACAGTTATTTGCAAAACAGCAGTGGGTTTGTAAGGTGCTGGATTAGACAGGTGTGAATTACAGAGATACTTGTATTTTATAGGTGTCTTGCTGGATGCCTCCTTCTTCCTGCCAGCGTCACTGATTGGGTTCTGGTTTGTGTTTTGGTTGTTATATATTTGGACTTTACATTTGAAGGAATCTGTCGTCTTCTGTCTTAAGTGAAAAGCTCATTGGCATGGGATCAGTGAGTGGAGGAAAGGACTGAGCATTTTTACAGGCTTGAAGGAGTTGGACCGTTTGGATTTGTGAAAGCGTGGCTTTCATAAGGACAAGTACTGTTTGACGTTAGCCCAACAGCACGGAGAGTTTATGGATACGGTCACTCTGTCTTTTGCATCTGTGTATGTGGGACAAAATGCTTTACCCTAAGTATATGGGGGATATGATGTGTAGATCTACTGAAAATATATATAGCCCTAGTGACTAAACATGACCTTAGAGACGGGCTCCGATCGGTCAGAACACTAAATGGCATCTTGAAAGCAGGTCACTGAGGTTGTGGGCATTTGATACAAAGATGCCATTTCTAATTTCAGATCGTTTCCCTGAAATCAGCCTTTTTGGGGGGGTAGGTATTTCGGAGTGCTGTTGTGGTGTTGCTCTAGGAAGTTGTCCAGAGAAAATGTGTTTGAGGAACTGTGTGTGTCAGTGAGAAACACCAGACACTGCTCTGCTCTCAAGTTATTTCCCCAATGATGGGGTATAGCTTAAACATTTAAGACTTAAATAGTCAGTGTGTTTTTTCAAAGTTCATCAGGTATTTTAAGTAGAAAATGGAAATTCTGAATTTTCTATTTTTATTTTTTTTTCAAATTCTGCTAATGTTATTTTTTTTCTGTGAAGTCTTGGTTACTTTCCATTTCAAGCTGAAATAATCCATTTTGGGTCTTTTCAGGGTGCTCTGCAGCCCTTAGTGGTTGATTTGCAGTAGTTGTATGTGGTAGGGAAGACTTCCAGGAGTTACAAAATACACTGGCACATAGCAGCTCAGAGTATATGTTAATTACTGAAGGAGGTGGCATTCCTCTTGGACTGAATATACTTTTAAGTGTGTGCAGCAATGATTAAAATCAAAGATATAGACTCCTTCCTGTGGAGTAAGCATGCAAATTAATATTGGCTTTAATGGAAGTGCTCTTAAACCTTGCATTCTTTAGGAGCTTACGAACACAAGCATACAATAGTAAGATGATATTAAGACAATTGGTAGTAATATTAAGATTTTTTGTGAGTGTCCTTCTAGAATAGATATGGTTTATAACTCTTCCCAGGCCTTGTAGCATTTGGAATGAGAACAGGCACTACGTGAGAAAGCAGTTTATGAACAAGGAATACAAGGAACCTCACATGAGCTGAAACGTAACTCTTTTTGATGGCTTTTTTCTTTAAAAAGAAGCTACCAGTGCCAGAGCGCTGAGTGCCACTTATTAATGATTGGAAGTTAAATTTGGAAATGGTTAATTACCCCTGCTCGAGAATGGAATTAGCAAGTAGATTCATATGGCAGAAAGCTTTCCTAGAATATTAAGTTATTGGAAAGGCTGTCTCTGGTCTGATTATTTTCAGGTAGATAAGTCATTTACATTTTCTTAAATGCGTAGCATAGATTATTTACAAAGCCATGAAAACAAATTAAAACTTTTAAAAATCTTTCAGAGATGAAGAGATTTAAAACTGGATTTGTCCTTAGTTTGCAGAATGTTTGTCAGCCTTTTATTTGACACTGTTAGTTGGTGTCAGTGATTGCCAATGAGAGTTTACTTTGGGCAAAATAAACTTTTTGTAATTTTTTTTAATTAAGGAGGTATATGAAATGAGGTTGCTATACTATCAATTGGAATTGAGGAAATGCTTCACAAGAAAGTGCCAGGTCCTTTTATATGCAGGAAGCTGAC